GGGGGGGGGGGGTTTAATGATTTGTTAACCATCTAAATTATTATAACACTCTTAATTCCTTTTGAACAATATGGCTTTGTTATTTTTGGCTTCAATTTTGGTTTGTTTTTAATTATAGGGGTAGTTTTGTAATTTTGTTATTTATTTCGTTTTCTTATCTTTAATTGCTTGGCGGCTACATAATATTCTTATTAATTTAAGGGTGAATACATATGGAATTTATTTGGCACTTACATAATATTCTCCGCTCCGGATAAATAATTATGAAAAAGGTAATTATTCATTTTAAACTCCACTTTTTATATTTAAGATATTTGAATAAAACACAAAACAGATTTTGCTCCTATATCTTCATAACTCATAATAAGTGAAACTAGTGTCGTTTATTAAACATTTACCCGGTAAGTATTTATAGAGAAAATTCAATACTATTATTTACTTATCGGGTAAGATTTTAGTCAATAAAAATGGCTTTTTATGCAACAATTATCCGGTGAGAGTTGACTCTGGTAAGAATCATTGTCCTCACTTATGCAACAATCAGTTCCTACTGAAACCGAAAAGGGTTTAGGGTTCGTCCTTCAGGATTACTTTATGAAAAGGGTTTAGGGTTCTTCGTTACGTAAGCGACATTCGAACACATTTCCTCCTTCCTCGTGTCTTTTTTGGTCATTTTACATGTATAATTAAGCAAAATTTGCCGAACACTAAAAAAACAATTTATTAGCTTATTACGTTTTGGTACCGCTATAACTAATCCGAACACTTTTTATAGAACTCCGATTTAACACCACATAAGCTGATAACCACTTGAACCTTCATGGCCATAAGAAGATTTTTTTTAATCCTTCTTGGATTTAAACTTGATACCCAGACACTTTTGACCTTTGGAGCCTAAACTCAAACCAATCAGACACCACTCTTTTATAATGCATTCAACGTTGTTTTATTTATACAAGTATGCGGAAAAGATCGAAAAATCGAAAAAAATTCAATTGCCAAAAACAAATAGTAGCAAAGGATCTTTACAACGTTAAAGTTGTACGTTCAAATCTCTAAATGTAGGAGTTTGTTAACTGTTTCAATATAACCTATGAAATCACGAACAGCTGAATGAGGTATAAGAATAAGCTATGGATAAATACAAAATGTGTCGTTCTTTATACAAAGAAATAGCCTCTCGTACGCTAACGCCATTTTCCGAGCCGTAAACATGGAGGTCGCGAATCTCCGGCAAGCCTTCCCCCTCTCGAGAAGCCTCTTCGGACCCTCGGCCACCACGCTCTCCAACGTCTCCACCAATGACTCCACGTTCGGTGAAAACATAAAACCAAACTCATCATCAACCAGAATCGTCCCTTTGATGCTGGGAAACCTGGATGCCATCACAGGCTTCCCAGCCATCATCGCTTCCATAAGCGTTAGGTCGAGCCCCTGCGGCCTGAGCGTCGGATTCACAAAAATGTCGATCCCGTTGTAGAACCCGCGAAGCTCGGACGGGTTCATGGACCCCAGGACTTTGACCTGGGGTCCTAGCTCCATGTACCTTTGTTGCCATGGTCCAGCCCCAGCCACCACCAAATACACATTTGTGTGGTTTTCTATAAGCTTTGCAAAGGCTTCATAGAGCAGTGGGTGGCCTTTATCTTTCACAAGTCTCCCAGCCACTCCTAATAGCAAGCTAGCATTTTGGGGTACACCAATTTTGGATCTAAATTTCTTCCCTGATTCGGGATCTTCTCGAAAATCGTGTTCGTTGACGCCGTTAACGATCACGTGAACTCGTTTACTCGGGATTTGGTAGACGTCTCGGAGCATTTCGCCGCAACTATCGCTTATCGCGATGTGGTGTTGGTAGTTTCTGAAGAACCGAATCTCATTCAAGACTTTTGGGATCATGACTTGTAAGCTTTTGTTGAACGATGGAGAGATTGGCTCGTCGGGCCGCCGTAACAAATCCTGGTAGATGCTCGATGAAACGCTTTCTAACGCAATTCCGTGCCACGAGACGGCAAGGTTCGGGATATTACGAGCTTTATAATGCGGTAATGCCACGCTCTCAGTGTGGATCACGTCAAACGGGCGACGGTTGTTCTCCTCCTCGTATTGTTCCCACGCCTTGTTGTACCGCCATTGCCCGGGCTCGGCGCCCTCGTGAAAATGCACGATTGGGGATTTGGTGGTTTTCATGTTGATCAAGCTGACATCTTCGTTAGGAGGGGAAGTGAAGATATGGATCTCGTGGCCTCGAGCGGCTAAAGCCGTGTACAACGTGTATGCGTGCCGCTCCATGCCGCCGGGCGTCGTCCCAACCGGCCATTTCCGAGTGAAGACAGCCACCTTGAGGGAAACTGGTGGAGGGATTTGATGGGAAAAGCTGAGGTGATTCCATGAGAATTCAGCTGAGCGAAGGTCACCGGAGAAAGTGGTGGTGGTGGTGGAGGTGGAGTTGCAGATGGTGACCGGAGGGGTGTGGAGGAGGAGGAGGGCTGGGATGGTGAAGAGGACGACGAAGAACAGGGTGGTGGCTAAGCTGGATTGGATGGAGCAAACGGGTCTCTTGGACTTGGTGGTGGTGAGGGCCATGGTAGCGGCGGCGGTGGCGGTGGCGGTGGTGGCTATGGTTTGGGGTGGTATCGTCTTCTTGATGATATTTGGTCTGGCTTTTGTAGTTGTGAACATGGTTTTTGTGACGGGGGTGGGAAGGTATTCATGCACTTAAACAAGTGCTTTTTTTCCTTTTCCAAGTGCTTTTCTCACGCTTCTTTTGGGAAATTGGATGTAGATTCTTCTCCCTCACATTTTCTCCTCGACTTATTTCATATTATATATATATATATATATATATATACTGGGTTTACGTGAGACCACGTATTTTCCATGAAACTCGTAAGACCAATTTATGTTTATTGATCAACTTTATAAGCTAATGATTTATGATCTAAAGTTGCACGGTGACAATTTTATGATTATTAAGAAGTCTTGTGGTAATGAATCCAAAAATGAAGATCTCTTCTTCTTATAACTATAAAAATACAGTGTTATTTTATAATATGATTATTTTTAAGAAATCCGGTTACTAAATTAAATTAATACCGTTATTTATTTTCAGATAATAATATTTGATTTGGTACATAATATATTAATTTATAATAAGAAAATTAAAGGTCAACCATTGTGAGTGGTTAATTGCCGGAAACAATTCGTACAAAATTGACCAAGAGAGCAAATTCCGGCAGAATATGGGGGTGTTTTTGTAAATATGAAGCAACTTTTGACTTGTACAAGTCTCACCCCTATACTTTTATTTATTTAAAAAATGATGCGTGTTTAGCAATTAAAGGCTGCCTGCTTACAGCTTACAGCTTATTTGCTTGCCCCTGAATTAAGCACCCCATGTAAACACTTGTCGTTTTTAATCGGTTTCCACGTTTAAGTAACTTATGACTACATATGAAGTGTAAAATCCTTCCTTCATACTTTGTAATGAAGTTCGAATCTTATACATAAAGATGGTTTCTTGTGTCTTACAAAAGAACCCGTCAACGTTTCCCGATTTTGATGGTCTAGAACATCTTTTGGGGGCGGGGGCGGAGGCGGAGGCGGAGGCGGGGGCGGGGGAGGTGACACGTTTACCGTGTAATGTTTTTATAGCTGTGGGTATCCGGGCTAACTTACATGTAATTTGACTAATCTCACGCTATGTAAATAACAGTGCAATAGCGTTCGTGGTCCTAGAAGAAATTCTGGTCCTAAATAGCGGAGCCGAGAATTGTACTACGACTTAACATTAAATGGCCTCTTTGCATGTTTTTTACTAACGAGTTTATATTGGACCTGTTTAAATTTTGGACTTCGGACTTGTTTTTTTTTCTTCCTTTTTGACGATTTAAATCGTTTAATCCATTTGTTTATCTTTACAGGTCGATGATTATAAGATTTAAGTTTTCAACATTATCGAGCATTCAACAATGCTACATAAATCCTTCCACCCGTTTGGTTTGTAGGAATTGAATGGATTTTTTGAGATTTGGATTTCAAATTAATTCTAATATCATGTTTAGTTTGTTGGATTGTCCGGATTTGAAATCTTGAGATTTAATAAACATAGGATTTTGAAATCCTTAGGGAGTGCTTGGGATTTCACAGGATTTAGTACGATTGTATGTAATAAGGTCGATTAATAAAAATGTCACTTAATTGTTTTTATAATTTTTTTATAAAGTATTTATAAATAATGGAATCCAATTACATTTCAAATCCTACAAACCAAACACACCAATGATTTCAAATCTATTCCAATCCGAGTCCTCCATAACAAACAATCTTGCAAACCAAATGGACTAATTCTTTATTTGGGACTATTAGTCTATAAAAGAAATTTCTTTTATATATTGATTACATATAATATATTAAGGTATTTATATTTTATGATATATATATATATATATATAATTCTAAATATTTACATGAACCGTTACTTTTGAACAGCTTTACCAGCGCAATGACCGTTATTTCAAATCACAGTACTAATCACGATTTAATATTTTGAACGCTATAACAACATAGATCTTACGAGGCCCTTAAGTTGACAGCTTGAGGGGACTTGTACCGGCGACCATCAGGGAATAAACTTTTTTTTATTAACCTGGATATCTAACCCGCTATGCGAGCCGACTAATCCCAGGACGACCACCTGTTTGCAAATAACCCGGAGGCCACAAGGGGATTTTTATTCCTCCTTGGATTTGAACCTAGGACCTCCTAGTACTTTTGACCTTTGGAGCCAAGCTCAAACCAATCAGGCACCACCCTTGTGGTTCAGGGAATAAACTTAAAAAGTCTTACAAATTATACCCTGTAATGTGGGATGGTAATACATAGATGCACATGTAGTTATATTGGTAGAGGGTAGAAGATGAATCTTTGGTTTGGATTGTGTTGGATCGGGTCGGGTACACTAAAGGCAATAACTATGCCATGTTTAATGTTTTGCATGTAATGTAAGGGGCCGTTTATCAAACACTTACCGGTAAAATTTAATACTATTATGTACTTACCGGGTAAGATTTTAGTCCACCAAAACGAGATAGTATACAATAATTTACCTGGTAAGCGCTTACCATAGTAAGAGTCGTCGCCTTCACTTACCGGGTAAGACTCTTGATCCTTGTCTCGCTCTTAACGGGTAAGATTCTTGGTCCTTACTATTTTCATCCAGTGAGGTAATATTACTTGGTAAGCGCTTACCCAGGTAAGCATTTGGTAAACGGCCCCTAAGAGTTAAAAACCAAACAAACCCAATAAATCACACAAAGTCCGAGGGCGAGGCATGACGTGGCGGCGAGCTTAAGTGTTAAACCTTACACGTTATGGCTAGGATGCAGCGTTTTTTAAGGCGTGACATAAGACGGCAAATTTGTATATAATATATGTAATTATATATACATATACGTTTTCTATTTATCATACAATAACATGATATATTCAAAAATTTACATTCATATTAAAAGAAGAAAAATCATATATATTACCTGGTATTATATAAAAAATTTGTAATCATATATTCAAAATAGAACTTAGAAGAGTTCTACAACTTCGTTTTAACTGTGAGTCTGTGACGTGCGAATCCAAGAATCTGAAACTGTGGGTGATGTAATTAGCTAAGTTTGTAAAAATATAAAATCTAATATTAAAAGTGTAAAAACACAAAAGTTAAAAAAATAAAAAAATCTGAAAAAGGTCATGCCTTGTAAAAGAACGACGTTAGTCATGCCTTACTCAAACGCTATGGGCCTTATGATAATGCGGAGACACGTCTTACGCTATAGCACGCCATGTCATGCCTTTTTAACACTAAGTACAAATAAATTGATACTAAGGGCCATTTACCAAACGCTTATCCAGGTAAGCTCTTACCAAGTCACATTACCTTACCGAATCAATATGGCAAAGATCAAGAATCTTACCTGGTAAGAGTGAAGACAAGGACTGAAAGTCTTACTCGGTACGTGACGGCGACAACTCTTACCACGGTTAGCACTTACTAGGTTAATTGTTGCATACGATACCGTTTTGGTGGACTAAAATCTCACCTGATAAATAATCGTTAGTGTTGAATTTTGCCGGTAAGCACTTATCGTGGTAAGCGTTCGTAAACGACCCCCAAGACTAAGATGGTTGTTTCCATGAAAACTTCCAGCTTATGCATAGCGTGCAAAAAGATTGCAGCCAAAGAACATTCGAAAACGACTTGAAAACAAGAACGGTAATGCTACAACTTTAAAAAAAGGAGCAAGTGATTTATGGAGAAAAGCCGATGGACTCGGAATTTCCTTGGATAGCGTAAGTGCTTCAAATGTCAAACAAGTTTTACTGCAAGAAGTAACGTAATAGTGATTTTTGGTCATTTGAGTAAATCCCGAAAGGTGTACGATTAAAAACAAGGCCAAACATTTATTTGAGCTACAGGGTACTTGAACAAGCATTTCAGCATTTTGTTTGGCTACAGGAACATTAATATAAGAACCAACAGCAAGATTCAGAAGTTGGGCGAACCTGATACAAGTGTAGATCATACAACAGTAGTCACATGCACGCAGACAACTACAGACAGCTTCTCTTTAACAGCTTTTCGGCAATAGCAGTCGGCTTCTTTTAAGCATCTGCAGATTATAAGAATGTATCAATCCAGGTTAGTTCTGTTTTCAACCTTCAGGGTGCACAGGACAGAACAAAAAAATGTCTCACGATTGGTGGAACATTAGACTGAATCAGGACCGGACAAGAATGAGGGCCTGTTTGTTAGCAGCTTAATGAGCTTAATGGGACTCGCAGCTTATTCAATCAGCTATACATGACCGTTTCGTATTGGCTTAATGATATAGAAAATGGCTTATTGAGTAAGCTTCTAGAGGGGAGCTTTATGCAGAAAGCCAAGTTTTTTCCAAACCTGCACCTCCCTATTAAAAATTATGCTCCTTCCATCTATGAAGAAAACTTTCCAAACGAAAACCTTCCCAATCTATACAGATAGATTAATCCACATAGACAGGTTTATCCATTCAAGACTTTATGGAAAACCAACCAAACAGCCCCTCACAAGAATGATTTTTTTGTCCCACCAAAATAGATGGAACAAAAATCTGGGAAATGGGACACGCTTGGTAAATTACTAAACTACCCATGTCAAATTAAAACCTCTAACCTTGCACAATTCTTTCACCCGCCTACCTCACTCTCACCCGTCCAGTCCAGTCCAGTCTCGTTTGTATACCAAACGCACCCCAAGGGTGCTACAAATACAAAGACGCATGTATGAAGACGCACCATTTGGAGGACAAGGATTTCTTGCATTAAATTCAGGATCCATAGACATGGATAGCTGAGTTGTGGCATCAAGATTGGACCATGGTTCTTTGGCTTTCGGCCACTCATCAAAAAACTGGCGCATTGATTGCTCATGCTTTACTTGCCCTCCTGGTGACCCAATCTCGCTACCAAAAAAGGGATGTTGTTGCCTTTGCTTTGACATAGAAGTAGTATCAACCAATGGATCAAAAGTATTGGTCATGTTCAGCTGTAGGGAGTTGCTTTGCAAGTATGAATCATTTTGTGGCTTCAACAAGGAATTTGTGGAAAGTTGGGAAGGCATTAGACGCCTTGAACCGTCTATATTAATGTCCATGCCAAGACCCCTTGCATTCTCTGGAACTCCAGAAGTGTAGTTATGATCATCAAGATTGACAGTTAGTCCTTGAGCATACCTGCATATTCCATTTTGAAAAGAGAAAGAACATAGGCATTATCCACAAAGTCCATCTCATCATAATGAAAGCATTAACAAGAAGCGCAATTGATTCAGTGTCTGAAAATCCAAGTAATTTGGATTCACACATCATATCGTAGACAACAACCAGGCGTCCTGCAGGCCGATAGTGGGTATGGCCATGTGAACATTGTGCAAATCGATTAACTAGAAATATGTTGCAATGATCCACCTAATAATGAAAACTATGAAAGCAAAAGAAAACCCTAGTTGAAGAACAAGAGAAGATAGACGAAGAACCCATCTCACTTAGATATAACATTGTCTAGCTATGTGGTTCAACGGTCATGCCTCTGCTCCATCTTTTCTTTGCCGTTTCACAGCTCACTCTTTATGTGCGTGGAACTCTTGAATGAAGGAACCAAAAAAAGAAACAAACTTTTTTATAAATTTGTGACTTGTTTTAATGGGTTAATAGGAACCATAGAGGTCAAGCAAAGTTCATATGATAATTTGTCATTCCTTCTACATGGTTCATAATAATGAGACATAGAATCACCTAAATCAGGTTCTTGTAAAATATTACAAAAATCAGGAATACATCTTCCCCACGTGTACCCTTGGTAATAATGAATTTCTTCATATCTATATGCATAGGTGAAACCGTGCCTATGTATAATAGTTATGTAACCTATCCCAATCAGATGTATAGGAGTGAGGTCGCTTATCAAGCTAGTGTAAAACAAGTTACATGTGTCAAAATGACCCTATATACAAAGATAACAACCTGCATTCCCCTTATTCAACATTGACATATTACAACATGGTAAAAAGCCAAAATCCCCCAGTTGTAGCAACTTGCCCATATTTCGCATAAGATGATCCATTCTCAAGTCACATGCAACTTTGAAAACTCCAAAGCATATATTTCCATATACCTACACCGTCTCTTTGCAATTTTCTTGGATCAGTGAGACATAACTATTCTTGGAAGCATCGCGTAATATGATTAAGAGTCCACAAACAGAACTTAAGCGCTGGCATATATGGGGAAGATAGTTGATCATTATGCGAGTAGACGAACACATATCAACAAGTGCAAACAGCACACTTACTATCCAGAGGGTCTTCCCATCCTAGTCTCACCACATTGAACCTATAGGTCTATTGATCCTTATGTCATCAGCCTAATCAATTAGCCAAGGAATTTATCCAGCAAACACTAAAGAGTAAGGAGATTAAAATCCCTGATTAAACACCCAAATGCTAAGGTAATTAAGCATTCATGGTGTATATAATTACATGTAAATGATATCCAAGCGAACCAAGCTTAGTGAGGAAGTGAAATTTTGAACCAAGTAAAGGGTTAATCGTAAGATGATCAACATTTTTTTCACATGTTCAGTATTGAAGACCACAGTTTAGAACTTTAATAAAACTTTGCCTTGTTTAAGAAACTACAAGAATTGTCATCGTAAAGTTTAAATTCAAAATAGATAAAGCAAAATCAGCTAATAATGATAAAATAAATGGAACACCCAAGAAATATCATGTTCTTCTTCAACACTCGTGAGATCGAACTAGTTCAATTTACTGAGTAATACAAGTTTAATCTCGCAGTTCAATTACTGTTCAAGTAATATGTCAAAAAAGAAGGCATGCTCACACCCAACAGAAAGCTCCAATGCGAAGTAGTGCTACATGTTCATACTAAGGGGGTTAGTTGGATAGTCCTTGAAGTTCAATTAATATGAATAAAAAACTACAAATTTAGTAGTACTCTTACTCCCTCAGTTTTATTATTTAAAATGGTACCATTTTTCAAGGCGAACGTTAAAGAGCATTCTATGCATTTAATTCATGGTCTAACACTTATATTAGACTACATCAAGCGCCAAATGTTGCCATTTTTATATAATAGATGGACTATTACAAATATACTCTGTTCAACATATTATGTTGAACATTTCATGTTCTCTAGTCTCTTCTCCCCTCCTAGTTCTTTGTTTTGTGAACTTTGAAAAAAAAGATACCAACAAGCACGGTATCAGGTAGCTGGCTCAAGCCAAGTTTTCGTTTAGGTTATTTGCACAATTAAAATGGAACATTCAACCATGTCAGAACCACTATGCTGCAGGTTGATATTTCAGCATAAAGGTACTAATAGCATGCAAAAATTGAAGAAATCCTAGATAACAACATTTTCTTGATGATAAATGTGCTCACAAAAGTTAATCCTCAAATGAAGGAAATGTGCTCACCTAAGATCTTTGTTGTTGATCACGTAGGAACTTGTATCCACCTGCGTCTCTGATGCATTGCTTCCAAAATCAAAACTCTCTGAGTTAGTGATGGGATACAAAGATTGGCTTGGGGAGCTCGCATTACTAACATTCTGGAAGCTCCGTTTGACACTGCCAGTGCTGTTCACAGTACCAATATTTGACATTGCAGTCGATAATGACTGAGAAGTAGATTGAGATTCCACAGGCTTTCTTGAACGGTTACGGCCACGATGCATGTGCCGCTCACAATATTTTGATTCGTGATAGGCATCTTTGGAGCATCTCCACTTCTTGCCATCTGTCCTCCGGCACCTCCCTGGCTCAGGATCAAACTTTTTCCCATAATATGAACAATATCCCACTGCTTGATAAAATTCCAAAGCGTTTATTAATAATTTGAAGAAAGCCAGAAAACGTTATGCATAACATGAAATTCCAAAACCGTAATTCAGGAAGTACAGCATATACAAGCAGCATCTGAATCCAGTTCAAAAAAATTCAGATTGACGGACCTTTTGAATTCAAAAAAGACTTCAGTAAATTGTCTTTGTAACACAAGACAATCTGGTCTAACCCGTCAAGTCACGAAAAAACACAACGGACAATATCACTGGAGAAAGATATACTAAAAAGTAAAAACTTACAAAGTAGAAACTAAACCAGATGCAGTAGGCAAAGAAAGCCAAGTGCCTCCAGAACATCTCAGTTGAGTCTAAAAGTGGGACGCTAATCTCTTCAAATTTTTGTATAAAACACCTAAACAGATATTGGACCCACAAACATGAACTCCTGATTTTAACTAGATATGAAGCATTGCAAAACAAGAAGTCTTTTACAAGAAGATGAACAACATTCTTTATGATACTCCCTAACTGGGGAGATCTTATGGACCAACATAACAATATGCTATCAATAATTACTAAGGGGAAAAACAAACTTTAACTTGAGATCTTGAGATAACAAGAAAAGTTGCAAATGACTTAAGCCATCCAACAAAGAAACTGTTGCATTTATTTTCATATAGGCTTTTGTTTGAACTACATACAGAAATGGGTCTTGATCCAATATATTCCTGAATTTTAGAGTCCTATTTTTTCAAGGTTCACACTCAAAAACTTGGATATCTTAATCTAATCAAGAAAAAGTCATCAAGGATATCAGTGTTTTAATTGGCATAATTCCGACTATAATTTTGGAACAGAATCCTTATCACCTCTCGACATCAAAACAAAAATCAAAGTGCAGCTAGCATGTAATAGTTGAAATATGCCACTAGCCAATACTGCATTAACTTACAGGTGGGGTGATGGAATAACCTAGCAGATAAAGCCTCAAAGCTCCTTCTAATTGGCATAACAAGGTCAGAAGGGACAGGCACCCCTGCCACCAAGTACTTATATATTAAAGCTTGATGCTCCAGCTCCTGCCACTGCACCGCCGTGAATGGCGCTCTGTACCCATCTCCACCACCACCACCACTCACCGCAACCGATTTGCTGCCACTCATCTCCACCACACTCTCCCTCCCAACAACCACAACTTTGTCGTTTCCTTCTACAGAAAACTGCAACAGATATAAACACGGTACAAGTTATACACCGTATCTACATACATGAGTGTATATGCATATATATATATATATGTATATATATATATATACACACACAAATAAACAAACATATGTACAGGAATAAGAAGAGTTTACCTTTGAAGAAAAGGATCTAGGGTTTGCTCATAATAATTGGGTATAAAAAAAGGAATAGATGCAGGAAATGGGATTTCTTTTACAACAGATGGCGGTGAAATTTTTTTCCAAAATTGAAAAAGGGTGAAGGTGTTTGGGTTTGTTTTTACTTAAAAAGGTAGTCTTAGAGACCAGTAAAATTCAATATTATCATTTATTTTTTAGATGATATTTTAGTCAACAAAATCGGGATCGTATGCAACAATTTATCCCGTAAATGTTGATCATGGTAAGAGTCGTCACTCTTACTTACCAAGTAAGACTCTAGTAAGGATGTTCATGGGTGTCAAAGACCTTCCAGTCTAGTGGTAAAGGTTTGGGCATGGCATAGTCATGAACCCGAGTTCGAGCCCTAGGACGGGAGTGTTGTCGACATTTAAGTGGGGCCATGTTTAGCCTCCAAATTTGTCGCGGATTAGTCGGGCTTTGGCCCGGACACTCTTACAAAAAAAAAGGATGTTCATGGGTTGGGTTGATCGGGTTGAAGACGTTTGAACAACTCAACCCAATGCTTGGGGTTTGGAAAAAATTTAACCCAACCCAATCCAAACCAAAGTGCAACCCAACCAGTACGGGTTGGTCGGGTAGATACTTTGGTATATTAAAATATTCTTCTAATCGTTAATATGTTATTTCTCTACTCATAATTTCTTTTTCATCATCAACCATTTGATACAACTTATTTATATTTCTTACGTATATCACATTCAGTTAATTTTTTCAATTTACATATATATGTTCACAATTACTGAACATATATATGAATATATTGACAATATGTGTATATAAAAAGTATACATGATAGTGTAATTGTCTAATGTATATATTAATAGAAATTCAACAATCATATTAAATCCAAAAAATAAAAGGATATCAGATTCATTGGGTTGGGTTGGGTTCAAATAATAGTAACCCAATATCAACCCGATATCTATGGTTTGACAATTTTACAACTTGATTAGACATTGGGTTGCTTCGGATTGGGTTATTTCACGTTGGGTTGGGTTGGGTTGATCGGGTTTTTGAGCACCCCTAGACTCTAGGTTCTTGTCTTGCTCTTACCAGGTAAAATTCTTAGTTCTTGTCATATTCATTCGGTAAGATAATATGACTTGATAAGCATTTACCCGAATGATTGTTTGGTAAAGTTCCCTTGGTGATTAGAAATAGATTATAATTAATATTTAAAATGTTTATGATTAAGAAGAAATAATTTACCCTTTTTCTTTAAAACATTATTAACATGCTGCTCCATTAATTAAGGTGTTGTTTACCAAACGTTTACTCGGGTAAGTGTTTACCAAGTCATTTTACTTTACAAAATAAATAAAACAATGACTAAGAATCTTACCCGGTAAGGGTGAATGCAATAATCGAGAGTCTTACCCGGTAAGTGAAGACGATGACTCTTACCATGGTTAATGCTTACCAGGATAAATTATTGTATATGATGCATTTTAATGAATAAAATCTTACCCGATAAATAAACGATAATATTAAATTTTATCAGTAAGTGCTTACCGAATAAGTGTTTAGGTAAACGTGATGCCACCAATCAAGTAAGTAATATTTATGTTTGTTACTTGTAGTTGTATCCTACTTATCAACTTTATGCTAATATTTGTTGTTAAAAATTGTTTTTGGTTGCATAGCTTCTTTAATTGTTTTATTAAGTACTAATTTTGTTTCACTACAAAATATTTTTAGTCTTTTATTAAATACTAATTTTATATGTTTTGTTTTGTTTTTTTGTCTTTGTTGATATAATACAGTTTATATGGTCTTGAAAAAGATAATGTTTTTACTTTTGAATAAAAATAAATTTGAAGACATCATAAAATTTTGAAAAAAAATATATCAAATTAACTATTTAAAAAAATATATCAAATTAACTATTTAAAAGTTCTCGTTCTTTTTACAGTTTATTTAATTCAATCTCTTTGTTATAATTTAATTTAGGTCAAATAGTGAAAGTAATTTATTTTTGACTTAACAATAAAAAGACTTATAAAGATAATGATTATCCTAATTATATTTTAGATTTTTTATATTTAAAATGATATGTATATCCCGTATTTGATTATGTTTATCTATAGTAGTTATACGAATTCAAAAATTGAGTTTTAATAAGTTGTATTTACGAACAATTTACTTGTCATCTTAAATTTAAGTAATTTATTTGTCATCTTAAATTTAAATAATATGTATTAATATACAATATATCATAAATAAAAAATAATTTTTAAAAGTTTTTATCAAATACATAATATAATATAATATATAAATCTAAAAAAGTCCTCCATGTTTAAATCCAAATATTTGCTTCAATCCTAAATAATAGCATCTTTTTGGCCTCTTGCCAAAGAAACCCCCCCTTGGGGAAAAGAATGTCAATATGGTATAAATTTACTACTAATTAGGGGTCGTTATCAAACGTTTATTTGGGTAAGTGTTTACCAAGTTGCATTACCTTACCGGATGAATATGACAAGGACAAAAAATTTACGCGGTAAAAGCAAAGGCAAAGGCCAAGAGTCTTACCCGATAAGTGAGGGTGACGACTCTTACCATGGTTAGCACTTACCGGGTAAATTGTTGTATATTATATAGTTTTGGTAGACTAAAATCTTACCCGATAAATAAGTGATAGTGTTGAATCTTGTCGGCAAACACTTATTCAGGTAAGCGTTTGGTAAACAGCCCCTTAATCTAATCTTCCGGTCTCATGTCAAAATCTACAAAATTACTGATATTATCCTCATATTTCATGAACGAATTGATTGCGATGTCCAAAAGGATTTGTTAAATTGGCGTAAATAACCCTAAAGACTCGTAGGGAATAAGTAATACATGGGATTCCAATGTTACCTGGAAATCCAAAAATGCTTGAGCAATATGTTTTCAAATATTGAACAGTTCAATACGTCATGATAATGAAATTTCACGTGCATTATGATTTATTGTCTGATCAAAAAAGAAGTTCATATGTTATTCGTTATTATTATTTTTTTTAATTAACATAGATATCCAACCCGCTATGCAAGCTGACTAATCTCAGGGCGACCACCTGCTTTGCAGATCGCCCGGAGTCACCTCATTTGAACCTCCGTAGCCACAAGCGGATTGTATTCCTCCTTGGATTTGAACATGTGACCTCCTGGTACTTTTGTGTTATTCTTTATTTACGTATATGGTTGAAACAAACCCTCCTCAATTCGACGTCCTAAAAATAATTTGAGTAGCAGAGATGGGTATCCAATGAAGAGATTAAGTTCGTCGGAAAGATACAAGAAAATACCTAAAACCAATCAATTCCCCATTGACCCTAAAAGCCTACTGCCTGAAAATGTAGAAGCAGATACCGTCAATCTGTATAAACGACATATCAATCCTTACCTTCATAGGGAATACCTTCTAATAGAAACCCCCAAAGAACTGTGAGACGCCCTGAAAGCGAAACTCGAGAATATTCATTACCCCATACTCCCTAAACTAACATACAATAGAATAAAATCCGCTTACTCTATTAAAAGAAGGTATATGATTTCAACAAAGAAAACGTTGCGTCTCAAAACGCATTTAAACCTCTGTGGCAAGGAACTCACAGAAGACGACATGATTCAGAAAAGCCTTTCCACATTTCTGTTATCAGTAATCGTACTAATGAACTAGTATAACTTGGAATATAAGTTTTAACAAACTCATCGACCTATTGCAAATGGTTGAGAGACATAACAACGTTCTTTAAAATAAACAACACTAAACACAAGGTTTTACTGGACTTGAGGCATTTTCCTTAAGGCGGTCCGAGGGGCAAGCCTCGAGGTGAAAAACAAATAAAATTCATAAATATATAATAATATATTATAAAACATTTGATAAAAAATCTTAAAAATCATTTTTATGCATGAAATATTGTTTATTGATGTATATTACTTAAAATTCAAGATTACAAGTAATTTTACGTAAGTACAATTTATTAAAGCTTCATTTTTAAAATTCGTATAACTAACTGTAGATAAACATAATAAAATACAGAATAAACATTCATTTTAAATATAAAAAAATCTAAAATATAATTAGGATAATCATTGACTTCTAACAAAATTATTATCTTTAAAAAAAATTATTGTTAAGTCAAAAATAAATTACTTTCCTATTAGATCTAAATTAAATTATAATAAAAAATTGAATTAAAGAAATTGTAAAAAAAACGAGAACTTTTAAATAATTAATTTAATATTAATGTCGACAAATTTTTATGATATCTTTTCAAATTTATTTTTATTTAAAAGTAAAAACATTATCTTTATCGAAACCACATAAACCGTATTATATCAACAGAGACAAAAAATAAAACGGAACATTAAAACGAAGATGTATCTCGCTGCATTGCGCGAGTACCATTCTAGTACATAATAATAAGCAAAACATAATTCCATACCAAATTTTAAGTGTTGTAAATTCATAAAATTATTAGTTATAAGTCTAAAACGTATCAGTCTACAAGTTATAGTTCCCCATAACATAATCAAACTGCATAGCTCCACCATCGTATTCGTACCATTTTCTGATTTATTTCATCTATTCCATGACCAAAACATGGGTGATTCGATTGATGATGAAAGAAGAGATTCTCATTTTTATTAACGCCCTCTTGATGAAACAAGATGGAAGCTATTGCTCCTTTTTTACGCCCCTCATTCTTCGAGAATCAGGAAGATTATATTTTCGATTGTTTTAGTTAGAATTACCACTGCTTAGCTTCCCTTTCAGCGCAGTAAATTAACCTAAGGTTAAGATAAATAAACAATGGATCATCTTCCACTTTTGGTGACTTTTTCCTTAGAAATGTGCGCTTCAACTTCCTACTGTACATAATACAGTATAATATTCATTCTTTTCGTGCTTAGATGATTTTGCCTCTTTGTGTGCAGACACATCATCACTGAAGTCTCTGATATCTTTTCATTGACCTCATCCATAACCCTGTAAATAAATCTCAACGCTGGAGTCTCGTCATCAACAATCCATAAAACACGCACAAGTGGTTTTGTGGTTTTAACTAAATAAACCATGCTAGGACAAAAAGTGTGCTCACCCATTACAATTTTCTTCACAACTTAGCCATCGTCTTTCTTTGCCCGTGCACAATTATTCCATTCTTTTGAAAGGAACATAACTTTGTAATGTTTCTTTCATCTCATACATACTTTCCGAAGTCAGAAAGGTAGTGGCAAATCATCTGGCAGCAGATTGAAGATCATTCTTTGCAGTTGTAAAAAAGACTCAACACCCATTGATGGTTATATATGGATGAAATTGCTTACTTTGCTTTAAGCAAATCACTTTGCCATGTCATGTCGCACCATGGGTCGATCGTTACCCGACCATTTCCCGACCGTTTTTCCCGCTCATTCTCTGACCATTTTCTCGGTCGTTCACCCATCATTTTCCCGACCTTTCACCTACCATTCTGGAAAATACATAGTGAGACAACAATTTATATATCATCTTGTTTTCTTTAACCCTCATGATTAATGTACAAATCAGAGGGAATTTTAGACTAGGGAAAAAGTTTATATTGTAAAGAAATAGGTGCATAGTACTATTTCTTTGATTCTATTTTTATTTTATTTTTCCACTGGGCTTTTATTTTAGTATAAGATTTTCTCAAGACAACAATTTTGCATCATCATTTTTTTGACTGATACAAGGGGGACGTATTGAAGGATAAGTGTACCTTCATCAAATGAATATGATGACATAGGTATAGATAGACATATCAGGGATATGTTAGAATTGATATATCTCATGATTATCCACATGTAACTCATCCCTATTTAAATGGCTTATGATTAATGAGAATTACAAATTTATTCTCTCTGTTTACCGTTTTCCTATTTCATTTTTCCTTATAACACTAATATCATTAAAATTATAAAAAAAAATGGACCATTTATAGTGGACAAGTCCTTAAGAATCGATGAAATCGATTTTTATTAATTACGGTTTTTTGAATTTTGACGGCTATGATTAGATCCTAGTGTTGGTTCACTTTTGACTTTATCCTCCACCAAATCTACTGATCTATCCTCAATTATCGATTTAAAAATCAAGACTGGTTGAGGCATAAACAACTAAGGGGCCGTTTATCAAACGCTTACCTGGGTAAGTGCTTATCAAGTCATATTAACTTAATTGATGAATATGGTAAGGACCAATAATCTTACCCGGTAAGAACGAGACAAGTACCAAGAGTCTTGTCCGGTAAGTGAGATCGACAACTCTTACCATGGTAAGCGCTTGCTGGGTAAATTACGGCATAAGATGCCGTTTTGGTGGACTAAAATGTTAGCCTATAAGTAAATGATAAGTGTTAAATTTTACCCGTAAACGCTTACCGGCTAAATGTTTGGTAAACGACCCCACCTTCTAATTCGTTCATATGAGAAGCAAACCGTTGCGTGAAGGAATCAATATCTCGACATAAGTGAAGAGGCAAAATTTGTGCCACTCCACATGGTCGTATGAAACATGCATCCTGGCTCCGAAGACTTTTTCATAGAATTCCAACAATTTTTCCCGCTCCTCAAAAGCACACAAAAACGTAGTTGATGCTCCCACATCCATATCGGGTTTGGGGTTACGCAAAAGAAGAAGGGACCATTTTGCCCAATAACCTTAAATGAAAATTTTATTACCAACATAACCTTTTGATAACTTTAGTGGCAATCTTTGTATGATGAAAGTGACATTCTTATATATAGAAATGACATTCTCAAACCTATCAGAAGGTTTAAGGATTTAAAAGGAAAGTGTTGGGTCATTCAACTGCATGGCTGCAACATAACAGACTATTTTGCTCAATAAACTTAAATGAGAGTTCTATCAACATAAGAGCATGCCCAACAACTCGTTTTCTTGACTACACGATGTGCACAAGTCACCAACATCACATATTGATCGATATTGACAAATTAAACTCTCAGACACTCGTTTGTGACCCATAGTAGCATCTCATTTCTTCGAAAAGGAAGCAGTTGCCATTTTCTGATCTTCAGGTTATGGTCGGAGTCCAATCTATGACGAGATGTTGACTCAGATTATCAGGTCTCTCTTATAACGACAAGTCATATATGAGGGGGTGCTTGGTTGGGAGTAATTAGCGTAATAGGGGGTGCGGAATGGAAATGAAGATCATTAATGGTAATATGGTTTTATACAATATAATGGACCATCACCAAGTAATAAAACACTCCAGCAACAAAAGGAGGGGGAGGGGGAAGGGGGAGGGGAGGGAGATGAAACTCAATTCTCATTTCCACTATTCATCAGTATTTCCATTCCCTGGAATGAACCAAGCGCCCCCTCGCTCTAAAGCAACAAACTGTAATGACGTTGGTATGCAGGACAGGACAGAACAATACAAAAACTTGTTGTTTCATGTTTGATGCGACATTAGAGTGAGACAAGACCTGAATGGGACACATGCATTTTTTTTGTCCCACCAAAATAGGCGGAACAAGTATCATGGAGACAAGTCAAGTGATAAACTACTAAACTACCCATGTCAAATTGAAACCATAGAACCTTCCACGGTTCTTCCATGGCCTACCTCACTCTCGCCTGTCCAGTCACATCCCATCAGTGTGGGAAACGATCTCATAGCACCAAATAAGTGAACAAAGAGCATACCCTCTAGCTATACATGATCAAAGATTTCTTCGTTCCAACTGCCATACAAAACGATCGACTGCAGCCATTGCACGAGATGCTGCACCAATGGAGCCATCATATCTGCAACAGCTCATTGCACAACAAGAAGAAAAGTTGGAGGTTAGAAATTTAAAGTCGTTTAGGATTATGCGCACCGGTTCAGAATTTTGTATCAACAACAAATCAAAGATGTAAAGAACGAAATGAAAAAGAAGGCGTTTTCTTACAATGCAATGAAGAGAAAAGATGGTGTTTTGTAGACTATAGCTCCTTCACCAGCAGGCTTTGAAGTGTTCATGCACCTTCCACAAAACCAACTCTCATGTATTGATGTAACAACATCTGCCACCAGAACCAGTTGGGAAATTTCCGTAAATACGGTAAGCATCTTATGTCGTCCATCCAGATTTAGAAGCTAAAAACAATCTAATTACTCTCCCTCCGTCCCAAAATAAGTGTTCCAATATCTTTAGTTTGTCCTAAAATAAGTTTCCACTTTCAAAAGTAAGTATTTACTTTCCAATTCTACCTTAATTATGAGATAGAGAAATTCATTACTCCCTCTATTATTAATGGTAAAATTGTCATTTAGATACTCAAAAAGTGTAATGATTAAACATTTTTAAACCGTGTGTTTTTTCCATTGTGGACGGCAGGATTATGAACTTGAAGGCAAACTGGACGGTTGGGTAGGGTTGGATTGGTTTGGGATGCGGAAGGAGAAGGGTTAACTTGTGCTTGAATTAGAACTAGTTGGCTGCATCACAACTCCAGAAAAGCTACAATTCCTCAATCAGAAGCTTTATCCTAGATTTTGGATAAAAATGAAAACGTGTTGCAGAAGCAAAAATCAAACCAAATGAACCTAGTATATCCCACTTGGGTCTGTAAGCAGAACTTTCATCTACCCCAAGGAGGGTAAAGAAAGTGATTCTGTTAAGACCCCTCGCTTGCAAAACAAAAATTTTAAAAGGAAAGAAGGGTGCAAGTGACATGTGAAAAGAATAGCAAAATAGTGCGTGCAAACAGGCATCAGGAACAGTAGATAGAAAAGGGACCAGGGACAAGAGAAGTATTTCATTCAAAATATAATCATGTAAAACAACAAACAGCAGATGAACAACACAAACTGAAATCATTCAAGAGCGAGATAATGAGCTATAAAAACAAATTTCCAATAGCAAATCATGCATGCTTCCATGAGTATGTGGATAAGGATGCAATTGAGATGGACAAAGGGAACCATCACAAGCCAATTCACCGAACCTGTTTTAGACCTGAGGTATATGTCCAAGAGATGAGATTGGAAGCCATTTAAGTACCTAGATCCTAGGGTAACTATGATGAAGCTGATATAAATTACATAAGATTTGAAGAATTTAAGGTGGTGTTAAACAATGTCTTAGTCTTCTTTTAGAACTTACATTGATTTGACTCGATAAAGAAACTTTCACTCTGGTAATTGCCTCGTTTGATGAAGTTCACAAACTGACCCACTTCAATGGGATCTGCTTCTATACCTTCCTCCTCTGCACTTCAAACATGAATCAACACCGATAAGAGAATGCAAGAAAGGAAAAGCACTGGGCATGACACCTATTGACTTAACACCGTTAGCAAGAGCAGCAAAGATATTTATTGTGGTGTCATTTTTAAGAGGATTTGATAAGTCATGAATTTTGTTTTATAGTATGTTGTCTTGTCTATACAGATTCAATTGGTAATCCATAAGGTTGGATATCTCTAAAAATGTTGCTCTGTGAAAATTCTCAAAGATCCCGAGGCAAAAGGAATTTAAAATCTCAGTGGTTTGATTTGTTTTCAAGGGATTTCGGTTTTATAATGGAAGGGGTTAATGCTATTTCCATTCCCTTCTCAAATGGACCATAACCCCCCCCACACCCCAGGAATAATAAACATGCTTCTCGAAGAAAGATATTTCTTTCAGTAATGCAATAGGTCATTCGATTCTTAAGCAGTAACCAGTTTCTTTCCATTGAAATAATTCACTGCTTTCCAGTCACCATTCCAGCCTACTAAATGCAGTAAAGGGCAAAAATACATGCATTGAAACAGTTGCTTATGCAATTAAGCATACAAGACATGGAACTATTTCATGCTGCTGATGAATTAAAGTAATAAAATTAGGTCCCATCTTGATGTTAAAAGTTTAGAATGTATTACACTGAAACAAGAAAATGTACATACATATATTGATTTAAATTACTCCCAGTTGAAGTGAAATTTCCTTATAAACCCTAATGACGTAAAGTAGACCAACCTAAACAGTGCTAGAAAAGGTACACACTGTGACAACCCAATATAAAATCCCAAATTACAAGTGACTTAAAATCCTAGAAAGAGAGAGAACTGCTTGAAGATGCTTTTGACAGGTAAGTTTAACTTTCTTGAAATCTATATTATTTTAATCCACAAAGACCTGGAAAGTGTACGTCTCATGAACTTTTTTTCTTCTAACATCTTGCTTCACTCGACACAAAATGTTAAGGGATCTAGCAAATACACTGGACTCTCAAAATTATGACTGGATTTGTATGTTATTCACAAGGCGTGGCATAATATTAATCAATCGGGGTTGTGAACAAATTGATTGGGAAAAGAGAGTTAACTGATTCAAATAAACCAAAGGATATGGCTTTAGGTACGACAGCGTTGAATGAGTTATTCACATTACCAACCTCACTTTTAGGACCCGTTTGCCTCATTACAATTTTCGATGATCATGCTTTTGGGATACCTGACTATTTTAAAATTAACGACTTTGTAGTTGTTTGTTGTGTCTCTATCTTCTAAGATAGTACACTATCAAGATGGGAACATTTATGAAAGATGAGATTTTGAACAAGATAGTAGTACACCATCAGAACTACCACGCCAGTTAAAGCCTACATGATATATAAAGAGATTCACTACTACCTGAAATTTTGTCATGTTTTTAGTAGGACTATTACTTTGGAGATTAATCCATACAACTAGGGGGAATGGACATCAAAATACAACAAAAGATGTCCACAATCTTTTTTGTTGAATTACAAATATTCGCCTTGAAACGCAGGAAAGATAGTGTTTAGATACTAATCTAGTACAAAAACCTTTAAGAAATCATGAAGCCCAGCAGCAGAAGATCAGTCATCTTAGGAATTATACACAAACACTCACGCACACATAGGTATATACTAATAAAGCTTAAACCATCCAGATATGGCTTTGAAAGTAACTAGAAACAACTGTTTTCACCTTAGGTACTGAGTGCTATAAGCATATAGGTAAGTGAAATAACTAATAGGTCAAGTAAATTGCCAAGAAAAATATTTGCAAATGTTCAAAAAATTTTACTACCTAAACCAGATGTCTTGATATTGATAAAAGTAAGATTGAACAAACTTTCTTATATCATGATAGATAAGGTATTTCTTTCAAGAGCATGTATGACATACAAAAGACAACTTGTGAACTCTAAACAGGAACATTATGTTCCACATGGACTTGAAAAGACTAGAAGTTGAACAAATGGATAATTCATGTTCATCAATTAATAACCATAGGCAAAAAGGACGGACAGTTAATACATTTTATTTAAACATGTTGCCTTAAAATTTACCTTGAATAATACCATCCAATCTCAATATACTGTGGCCATTGTGATTTGTGTATCATAACTTGATGTTATGATCACCATGTAGTTAAAGTTAAAAAATAATGTATAGATGTTTGATTATATTTCAGAACCTTACATCGTAGACAGTAAGCGAGAAGGTCCAGTTGGATCATAGTTGATTAGGAGAGCTGCCTTCAATGGTTGACCTGATAGTTCCAAATCAACACCAAAAGTATCTATATATAAACAATGCGAAATGAAAAAAATTAGCAGAACATCCAAACAAATTGTGGTTGCACACCATCAGAACCGACACTGTTGCATGCCCATTTCTCCCAGTTCCTATTCACAAATGCCCAATCCATGATAGCTGGTTACGACTGCAAGTTGCAAGACCAACAAATAGTACAAAACAGAAACCTGTAAAGGGAACGGAAATCTTTTAGGTAAATGAAGGGAAGCAAAACATATCAAGGCATGTTTCCAGGCACCTGTCACCCACATGGAAATAAATAAAAAGGGGAAAACGCATGTGACAGATCAATGTGATGATTACATGTGCAGGTAAAGTTCAGGTTTGAACACTACATAAATGCAATCAAGAATGCCTTTCATTTCAGGGAAAAGTTCAAAAAAACCCAACAAAATTTTCCATTTTGAATGGTTTAGTCCCTAAACTATTTTTTTTGATTGAAAAAACCATTAAACTTTCTCATTTTGAATGATCAAGTCTCTAATCTATTTTTCTAAATGAAGAAACCATTGAACTTTCCCTTTTTGAATGAAAAAACCATTAAACTTTCTCATTTTGATTGATTAAGTCCCTGAACATTTTTTTACTAAAAAAACTATCGCACTTCTAAAAAAATGGTTACCTACATCCTTTTAACCCAAAAAAGTTACATTAACCGACTAGTAAAAGTTCGATGATTTTTTTTTTAAAAGATCATGGTATTAATCTTTCAAAATGTGAAAATTTAATGGTTTTTTCATTCAAAAAATAGTTCAGGGACTTGATCATTACAAATGAGAAAGTTTAATGGTTTTTTCATTCAACAAAATATAGTTTAGAGACTAAACTATTCAAAATGAGAAAGTTTGTTGGGTTTTTTTGGACTTTTCCCTTCATCTCAAATGTTCCCAACATATCAGTTTGTTTGACAATTCTATCTATATTGAGCACCCTTTTTAGCTTGAAGCCCCTCAAAACAGCATGTTATCTCCATATCTTATAAGTTCTTCACCAAATATCTCTTTCATTCTTAGATTAGATAAAAGAAGTAGTAAAAATAAGCAGTTTCCTGACGAGTGAGAGTATGACAGCCTAAGTTGCCCTTAACCCATAAATTGGCATCCAGCTCAATCAAGAAACATATACATTTCTACAAGCCAGTTATGGGAGGCTTCCCAACAAAACAAAATATTCCTCTGTCCCCATAGCAAACTAACCAAACCTACCACTTCATAAATTGCAAAATGGTTCAAATCAAATACCATCATTATTCTATTTCATCATAAAGCTGAACTGCCCACCAATTACAAAGTTGACAGGTGAACCCCGAGTATACTGTTGTTCCTTTCTAGTAACAAAATAGAGTATAATGTTAATTTGAATATTTCGTGACAGCACATAACCAATTAGTAGAACTTATTGGAAATATATAGTGTGCTAGTAAAGTGATGTTATATATGTTGATGACTTTACCATCAGACTACAAGAGCAGTTTCCGGGACCCAAAATCCTCCGGCAATACGAGCAGATTCCTGCAGAGTTGCCAGACAGAGTGGAGAGCGGGTTAACTGTTCCAATTTTGAAAATAATAATTCCGACGATGTAGGTTTCTGCCTTCGTATTTGTTTTTTCCACGTGACAAACCAAACACGTGCATGAAAAATTTAGCAACTAGGGGTCCATATAGGTTGAGTAGACCAGTTTGAGGAACCATATAGATTGGAATGACCAGTTTAAAGCTGTTTGAATAAACCAACCTAATAATTGCGGGATATATAACACTTAGCAAGTTCAAAGAGTTTTGTAGTATAAATCAACCCAATCCATGCAGATTGGATTGATTGGCCGGGTTCAAACACTTATGGGGCGTTCGGTTTGATGGAATGGTTTTGAAGGATTTGGATTTTGTAAAGGGATTTGGAATTGGAGGGATTTGGATTTGGAATGTTTGGTGTGTTTGGTTTGAAGGGTTTGGAATGAACTTGGATTCCATTCTTCATCAATAATTTACAAAAACAAATTATAAATAATTTTAAAAATAATTAAATTACATTTTTATGAATTGTTTATTACAAAACAAATGTTTTTAACATTTTTTAAAACATTATTATATACAAATCCTACGAAATCCCGTGAAATACCAACCCATGGGATTTCAAAATCCTATGTTTGCAAGATTTCAATGAAATCCAGGAAATCCTTCAAACCAAACATGGATTGGAATGGAATTCAATTCCAAATGTCTCCAAATCTAATCCAATCCCGCAAACCAAACAGGACCTGGGTCTGCATCATGTTAAAAAAAATAAGCAATGTTAAGGCTTTTATCAGGTAGATTAGAAGGACGAGAAAGCAAAGGTTATGAGCTGTTGACATCAACCATTCAATTCCGGCTCTCGTTATCAACAATGTCATCAAGGCTGACCTTTTTCTCGTACTTGGTCAACCTTTCACCCCAAAGGCGAGCATTTTTACAGGAGCAAACATCACCAGAAGTGGATTAAAAAGAAGTGACATTACCCAGCTGAGCCTCTATCTTGGGGATGAGAATTATGTTTTATTCGGGTTTGGTTGGCCAATTTAAGGGCGTCACAATTTAACCATCAAATTAGTGTAATTACTATATATGCTTTGATAAAAATGTAACAATTTTGTTCTTAAAGTACTAAAAAATTAAAACGTGTTATTATTTTAGATTAAACAAGATACTGCTTTGAATAGAAAATGTCCTAAATCGAACACTCAATGCATCTCATTTGTTTCCAAGGGTTTTTGTTGAGAGGGTGCATCTTTAAGGTGGATCGAACGCACCGCAAAGTAGGGTTTTGACCTTGTGGAAAGGTCAAAACGGTTTGACATAATAAGTCAATTGTGTTAATTTGGAGAATAAAATATATTTTTGAAATGGAATCAACCTTTCGAACAGATGCAAGACTATGCTTAGACGTAAGCCCGATGTGCTTTTAGTAGAATTCCACCGTTTTAAGGGACTTTTTCGGTTTTTCGGGTTGATTTTGAGGCTCTCGGTTTTTTATTGATTTTGAGACATTTTTCCCCGGGTTTTTGGTTGCTTTCGAGGGATCTTTTCCATATTTTTGGCCGGGTCCTAGAAACTTTTTCGTTTTTTTTCTTTATTTTGAGGGACTTTTTTCGGTTTTTTTGTTGATGTCCAAACATTTTTGGTTGTTTTACAGTTTCAAGGTATCATCCTGTTGAACGATTAATAACAATAGTAGCTAAAAACAGATTTAGGGCAATTCTACAATTTACAAAGACAAAACAAGAAGCTAATAACAATAATCAAATCAATAACTAAAACCACATTACAAATCAAAACATACAAAAAAACCAAATCATATTCACGGGAAATAGCAAAATATAAAATTTAAGGCGAATCTTAAATTTTGAGTTAGGGTTTAGGGTCAAAACCTGAGAGTGAGAAAGTGGGAGAGCCTGAGTTTGAGTGAGAGAGACAGAAGCAGCGGATCAGGACTGGCCGAGTGGACGGTGATGGATTCCGGCGAAGAGCAGCTTGCCGGGACGGCTAGTGGGCGACGGACTCACGGGCACAGTGCCAAGAAGTGGGGTTTAACGGTATGAAGTTGGGAGGACAGAGAGAACCTTTTCTTGTTTTATAGAAAAAGTTAAATTTAGTCCCTTAAAATTTCAAACTTTATAGAGGATCCCTGTATTTTCAAAAATTATGAAACAACCCTCAAATTTGAACAAATGTATCTTTCAACCCCTACAAGATTTCCATTATGGTTAATAGCTTGGTTTCAAATACAATACAATCTCATTTTCACTTTTTGGTGCATGTTAGCATTAAATCCGGGTGCATGTTAGGATCATTTTCATTTGTTTCACTTATGGTACAAGGTTATTTAGTCTTTTGTTGCATTTAGATAAAACATTGGCTTAACAGAATACCGAACATTGGTATTCAGTTTAAACAAATCCTTTTTTTTATTATTAAAGTAACGTTTTCACCTGCAACTCATGGGCGGACCCGAAGCATATGGTGACATGTGCTACCATTTTATTGCCCTATGAAGACTCGCTTTCGTTGCGGCTCCGATGGGTTCCCTTAACCAAGCCATTGCCTATGAGTCGCCCACTCATTCTTCAACAGGCATGCTCAAAATGTCTGTTCATAACAATTATTAAATAATTATTTTTCGTTTTGCATTAAAGGATTGTTTACTTTTTGTTTAATAAACTTAATGATTTAATGGGCTTATTTGCACATCCATATTGGAGTGTATATTACAGCTTAATAAAAAATGATTGGCTTATTCAATCAACCGAATAAGGGGTCCTTTATAATAAGATGTCTTAATGTGAACAACGTATATGTAATTCGGTTATCTTAATTATTACTTAATAAGTTAACAAATAACAAATACCTCTTTAAACATCCAAAATTTGATGGAAATTTAACAAGAAAAACAGACATTTTTTTACAGTCAAGTTCAATGTTAGGGTATTTTTGTGTTGTTTTTTTGTTTTCTTTAAATAAAAATATAAAGATTAGTTACTTATTTTACTCCAACAGATTCTTTATATTGTTCATTAAAATAGAGAAATAAGAAAAAGTTTCAGATTTGAAGAATTCTCAGTGTTTGGAATTGCTTATAAAAACAACTTATTAACTTAATCCGGTGTGACATTGATAATAAGCATTTTTGAGTGTTTGGATAAACAACTTATACCGGTGTCAAACCGGTAATAAGAGGTTTTTGAAAAAGTTAAACTATTCTAACTTATAATAAGTTGATAAACATTTTTATATGAAAGCATAAGTTGTTTTCTAATTGCCACGTAGGATTTCTAATTAAGAAATTGTGCTAGTTGTGAGTATGATTTTTTAATTGGAAATTGGTTCTGATAATTGATAATGTCAAATCAGTACCTGTCAAATCAGTACTTTTTGATGATGTAACAATGAATAATATCAAAAATTGAATTTCTTAATAAGAAGTTGTTTTATGTCACATCATGTTTTTTGATGTTTTATGAAGTATGTTTATAAAAAATATATGAATAATTTATTAATGAGATATTTGTTATAAAAAAAATATAAATAGTTTAATTGTTAATTAATATTGATATAATTTATTTACTAAATTATGAATTTAACATTAATATATTAACAAATTTTTAAAAAATGCAAAATATAATTTATATTACAATAAAATAAAATAATTTACACAATAAGAATATAAACTTAATACATATAAATTAAATCATTGTACGTTCAAAAGTTATTGAAGTTGATGTTCGTACAATTTTCTTTGTGGTTCTGTCATTGTTGTAGAATCCGTTTCGATCCATCTTGTGATCAGTTTTCGCTTTTCTCATTTGTTCTTTAGTTTTTCTGTTTAATGATGCATAAAATTCTCTCGTCACCTATATTTTTTCGTATTCAAGAAGTATACTAGAAGTGTACTCACGTAATACAGCGAGATACATCCATCCAATTCTCCATTCAATAACCATCCAACTAATAACTATATATAATTATAAATATTTTAGATTATTGTTTTTAGTTGATATTTATATACATTGTTTTTTAATAACTTAAAGAAAATATATGAATAATTGAATATTGAATAACAAACAAAAGATTGAAGAAAACAAGGAAAAGAACCTTGAAAGATGCCGACTCTGTTTGAATACAAAAACAAAGGATCTTAGAAAACACGTATAATATATAGATATAGATAATAAAATATTTTATTTGGTATTAAATTACAGTAAAGAATATTTAATTATAATTTTAATTGTATTTGATTATAATATAATTTTTTATGATGAGGTGTCACTTTATAAATTAGTTAGAAATCTTTATAGTGAAGGTTTATTTCTAGATAATTTCAAAAGTTGACATTAATTTTAAAAATTGTGTTAAAAATTATATCGTAATGGATGGTCTTAGGGAGAAAGATAAGAAAGAATCTTCACTCTTGAATCAATCATAATTGAAGATCTTCACTAGATTAACATTCAACAATAACAGGAACCACTAGATCAATTCCCTTCTATCGCTAATTCATATGATATAAAACACTGGTAACTAATAATTTTCAACAATACCACTTCAGAAATAAGGGTATAATTGTCAATTTTTACCAAGTCAGCACATGAAATAAAACATTTTGGTAAACAACACATTCAGTCAGCACTTACCTCTTACCTCAACCAGCACTTGATCAAAAACTTTGGTAAACAACCCCTAAGCCATGGCATAACTAAATGAGACAAAATTGATAAATTACTAAACTACCCATGTCAAATTTAAACCTAAAACCTAGCATATTCTTAGAGTCTGCGGCTAAGTGTTAACGGTCTAGACACCAACAAAATATTTTATGCCTAGTTTTTTGGTAACCGTCGGTGTCCGGACCAGCTTGCATGCAACTCAACTAATCTCATGTGGTCCTGAAGATAACAGTCAGAAAAATCCACAGTAGTCATAATGCCAAGTAACGTTAACATCCAACGAGGAGGATAATGTTTATAAAAACGACGATTCCGCCTTTGCACAAATCCCGGAAGGGATTGATCCTTGATCTGAAGAAGAAGAAGATGAACAATCAATCTCTTGTTTTACCTCGAGAGTTGCAGAACCGAGGATAACTGCATTGGCATGGTCCTTTTCTGACCTACAGAAAACATGTGAAAATAATAAGATTTTGTTACATCACTTCTACTATCATAACGACAACGAGTATGACGATGGAAGACCCTTTTTCATTTTCGAAGCCAAAACACAACATGGTCCAGTTAGAGCGGTGTAAACTCGATCACAAAGAGAGACATTTCATCATGACTGAAAATTTTGTCCAGCGGGGGAGAAGAAACCAAGAGACGAGATGAAAAATAGAGTGCAAAGAGGATGGATTTACATTTTCTTTCCTCGTTAGGGTAGAGGTAAGGGCGGCATGCAGTCATACACCCTACCCACAGATCATATTTCGTGTGAGATTTACTGGGTTTGTTTGGTTTGGTTTAAAAAATATGGATTTACAAGACCATTTTCACCAAGACACCAAAATGTCACCTGCAAATCTTCTCACCATGTAGAATTGTTTCCAGATTATTTCAGCCATTACAATATTTTAAACAGATAATACCGTTTTATTTTTTACTTTTTTATAGCAAAAGCTAACGAGTTGGGAGGACACGATGTAAGTAAAGAAATGCAGCAGAGGCTTATCGTTGACATACCTTTCGAAATGTGAAGGATACTCTTTTTGAACCCCTTCTAATCATAGTGTCCTTCACCATATCAACCTACCAAACAAATTCAATGAAACTCCACCCTCCATCGAGAAAAATATCGAAAAACTAAGGCCATGCTTGGCAAACATTAGCTAGCTTATTCTTAAGCTTATTAAAAAAAACCGTCTATGGCTGGTCATAAGTTAGCTTACGAGCCATCTTATAAACTAACTTTAAAAAAAAAAACTACTTCAAGTAGCATTTCAACAAGCTCCAGGGGTTTTCTTCCACTTTCTTCCAATTATTTTTTCAACATGTCGTTTTAGGTCATTTTACATTGTCATCTATTAGCTACATACATTTTACCAAACATGACTAGTTTGTCAGCAGGTTGATCTTATTATCAACTAATAGCTAGCTTGATTCTCAATTGACTATGACAACCAACAATCTCATGACCAAATACTTATATATTAGAATATCATAAGAAAACACAAATAATAGAAAGAACTGAAAGCCTGCAAAATTGTACCTTATGGTGTGGAATATAGTGCTGCCAAGCATATCTTCCCTCTCCTGAAAGCAAGAGCATTGATCGAGGGGGAAGATAAATGGCCCTCCTTACAAAACTTGAGGTATTATCAGAACTCTCTGTATCTCTATCACTAACAGAAGCACTACTGATGTCTGAGTACCCTCGGAACTCCATAATGCAAGGTCCTGATAACGAAAGGCTGTAAATTGAGCCCTCAAATGCTGAATGGGTATCTATATGTGGGGATAAACCCACACCTGCTGGGTATTCATTAACCTGCACCAAAATAAATGGGAAAGGGAATAAGACAAGTTAATTACAAAAAATGGAAATAGAAGGGACTAATACAAATACTTTGGCTTTCCAGTTGGTCAATCAAGCAATCCTACTCTCAATTTAGTTAAGGGAGGTCTTTTAACTTTAAAAAAACTCAGTTATCATATTTTGTGAAATAAACAAAGAAAAAAAACTCAGTTATCATATTTTGTGAAATAAACAAAGAGGTACATGATTCAAAATGGTCTTTATGTCCCCAAAATTTGTTTTTTTAATCAAAACGAGACGATTGTCGTCTAATGCTTAATCACATTGCAGGACCAATTACAGATCCTCATGCATCCAACAGACTGGCATCTTGACAAAATCCTTGAAAGATTCAAAGCAATTTTATCAGCATCAAGAAGGGATGATAGATATCTATGCTCCAGCTTGAAGAGTGTTAGTTTATGTTGATGATCATTATGTATAATCAGGATTCCATATTGTATACCTTTTGGTTCACATGCCCACTTTTTGTGCTCTATAATATAGAGGGACTTCCCTGAGTCAAACCTTACAACATTAAAAATTAGAATAAATGGTATATTTATTTGTTGTTTTCCATCCCTTAACTAAGCATCGTCAGATTTTTACATTTGTTTAACTTCATACTTCCAAAGATAAAGGTAACATGGTATTCTAGCAGATCCTCTGTTTGCATTGATTAATAAAATGCTGGCCTCAAATTTCACCATAAGGGCAAACTAAACATTGTGGAATATCGCAGGCAACTGACGCCCAGATGTCATATACATATAATTTGGGAATTTCACAACGAATGGTGTTTGTGAAAGCTTTACTCACCCCACCGCAAGGAAACCATATATATACTATTATGTAAGGTCAACCAGGAGTTGGGGGGGGGGGGGGGATCTTACACGGGTTTGTGTGTGATTAGAGCTTCCACAAGCTCTATTCGCTGTGTGGGATTCTAAAGATGTTATTTTCCAATGCATATAGATCATCAATTTTAACATGTTCATCAATAAATATTACCGTCAACTGGTCTAATGATACATCTGCAGCCTCATCAAGCTTCTTAAACAGAGGGACTTTTTCAAGTATGCAGGCAACAAATGATGGAAGATCACCCAGTTGCTGTTGTGTGTTAACATTTCTTATCTGCACCAGAAAAGACAAAACGCATGATTTGATCATACTGGATCTTTCTAGTTCCTGTCAGCAATTCAAGCAAAACAACCAAAGAAACCATGCACGCCCATCTTTTAATTTATAATTTTTTTAAGACAGTTCACCCCCATAACACAATGACTAAAACAATGATGATAATGATAAAACCTAGCCCACAAATGTCATGATAATCTTTCTGACAAATGTTAAGCTGCAACCATATCCATGTTACTTGTGTATATTGGTATGTGATGAGAGAGAAATCAAACAGATGAGAACTTTTAAGCAACTGAAGAATAGGGTTGGGTTCCGGTGAGAATGGAAGTTATGATGAGAAGAGTAAGAAGGGATCTCCACCCTTGGATCAATCCTAATTGAAGATCAACACTAATGCGGTGCACCGAGATGCACCGGATCAATTCCCGTGATAAGCACAATTCATGGGGTGGAGGTGAGATTAAAAAGTGATCAAGGGTCCAGATCCCTTCTTACGCTTCTCACCTTAACTCCTATTCTCTCCATCTTGAAGATTATCCAACAAAGAGTTGTTTAAGATCCAAAATGCTGAACTTGGGCTGTGCCATTTAGAACTCACATCATAGCAGAACTCGTAACCATAGTGTTGAACCCTTCTCTTTGCAAGACTATGCCAAGGCCTAGCATCAACTGCAGCAAGCAGTTGCTGAAAATGTAAAAAAAGGAAAAAAGAAATATGATTTTGATTTAACACACAAGAAGCAAAAAACATTTAGGATGCAGTATCCTAATTTACTAAGACAGCTAAAGTGAATAGTAAACAAACGTTATATATACAAAGCAGAGATCCATCACCTCCTCTTCTTGAGCTGAAACAAAGTCATGAATCAAGTAGATGCCAGGAATATTCAATTCTGATGCTCCTAAAGAAACCTGAACTGAATCGGTAGCTACAGCCTATCAACAAAAGAGGCCAAGTTTAAGAAATACTGCAACAAAATAGTTAGTTCTGATTTCCACAATAGTATTATCAGCAGGAAGGAGTCAGCTTCTATATATGAAAAATAAGATCATTTGCATGCATATAGGTCAATCACCATGAATTATAGACAGATGGCAACTAGACCCCCTTCTTAATAGAATAATATGGCAATCAACTAACTTCCTACTTTTTCCTTTCTTAAAGATAATGATGTAAGTTCAGTGGTCAGCATAAGTTTGCTCTTGTTAATAGAAGATAGTAGTTTAATTTTATTTTTCTTCCAGGGAATATGTAAATGTAAGGTGATGACATAAATTCATATATCAAAAATAGGTAAATCAGTTAGATGTGGTTAACTCATTTACATGTGGTTCATGGCATCACCAAATTGCATCAGTGGTAAATTGTAAAAATCTGAAAATGCCACAGCTAAAACCCAAATTCAAACGGAAAAGAAGCACATAATCATCTGAGCATCAGTGTTTGGTACACTAATAACTAATACCTGGCATAGTGGTCGTTGTACAGAATAGCAAATGTGCAAAGAACGACCTCCAAGATCAGGACATGGATGTCGGTTCAATGCCTCAAGTGCTGCTTGAGCAGAACTCTCATCATGGTAAGAGACGATAACACGGCAGCCACTCTCATCAGCAGGATATACTCCTTTAACGATTCCATACGAGCTGAATGCTGATGCAATAGAAGCTAAAGTAAGTCCAACAGCTGGACCGCAGTTAGCGACATAAAGGTTAGAACTTAACTCGTCATGGCCTCCCTTAGGGCGTGTAAATTTTGGTAAACCCATTATGTATATTCTACGAAAGGCTGCAACCAATTTAGAACAGAACTTAGTTTTCCTTTAACTGAAACTATATAAAAAGGCAAAGCAGATATTTATAGCAATCCTTGGTTAATATACAAACAATATCATCATTTCGAACTAAATTCATAACATCATCATAAAAGAAATCAATCTGATATACTCTGATAATAAAGACACATGTTTCTATTGCCTTGAAAGTTGTGTTCTAGATTTAAGAAATGCAGCCAAGTCATCAAAAAAATTACACATATTTATGAAAGCTAATAATTCTGTCTTCTATACTTTCCAAATATGTGATTCCAGGAATATCATATGCGTTTGGAGGAACAACTTATAAAAGGACATTAATCATATATATTATTTAGAAATTCATAAGTTCAGGACAGCCAGGCACATCCTGAAGTTGTTAAACTAGTTTGAAGCCGGTTGATTAGAGGTCTAAATATTATATACTAGTCATCAAATGTGAAACATGTTATATAGCTGAAGATGCTTTTAATTCTCTTTCGGATATGTGAATATTTACTAATAGAGAGGTTACCATTTTAAGTGTTTTTGGCTCCCTTACATAAGGTTGGACCGTTGAAGTTGAGTTTTATTTGTTACAGAAGAAAATAAAGTTGCTAGGTTGCACCTCTTTTGTCATTTTTATGTCTTGAATACACACATATAAACTTCTCTTTATTGTCACTTAATCACATACATGGGCTTGTCAGCTTTAATGTACAATTTCTAAGATCCAATGCCTTGTCCTTTATCGATTGTAAGGTTCACTCACAGCAATGTTCCACAAATTCTAACATTTAATGTGTTGATACAATACATGTCTGTGAATTGAGATGATTGTACTCTTTCAAAATTTCCATCTTGATAGCTTGTGATATCCACCATCCGACTTATACAATGCTGCGAGTGTCAGTGTGTCACCCGATCCAACAAAATAGTTCACATGCAAGACTTTACTAGCACACTTCCATGACGGTGTGTCAGTGTCAGACTCTAATACCAACCAAGTTGTTGATCTGGGATATGATGGACAAAGGAACTTCATTCTTACCTACAGTACACCAAACCCTTGCTAAAAATGAAGAGACACTTAACATATCAATCCACTATTCGATACAACCCACTAGTTATCTCACTTAAACCCAGCCACAAGGTACTGTTGCACAATTATGTACCCCCTCATTTGTTCATCCACTAATATCTTATCCACAACATTACCTCTTTCATTTCACACTCTTCCAATTCTCAATCACCAACACTAGACTTGCACGTAATTAACCATTTACTTTGCAGAAGGAACCACTAACTACAACTTCCATACAATAAAGTGTAAAGTGGTCGGCTATGAAACCAACTATATTGGTTGTCATCATACCAAGAATGCTATGAGCTGGAGTCAAAAAATCATGACAACAGGATACGCTTTCACACTGGCAACACTAGCTTTTGCTGTAACAACACAAAGCAGCAGAGAACATCAGTGGCACTCAACAATTCTGGTTAATAAGGTTACTAGGAGATCTACAAGACTACAACAACCCAATTTCAACTCTTTTGAGTGAAAACAGAAGGATAAGTAGCCATTAGAGTTTAGAGCTTTACTTTGATCCCTTTTTCTTAGAACAGCACTTTTCATCTTCTCTAGAGGCAGAGGTTTAACAAGGAATAACACTTTTCATCTTCTCTAGAAACAGAGATTTAGCAAAAAACAACACTTTTCATCTTCTCTGGAGACAGAGGTTTAACAAGGGTTCAGTTTAGTGTGCTTGATTTTTTCGCTAGGTATTTACAAGTTTTTGTTGTATGTGTCATGTTACAGGTTTTATGGCTTAGATAGCCCTTTTTGTATATACTTGCACAACTACATCCTTTACTCTCTCAAGAAAGAGAAAATAGATATATGATTTGAGAAAATAAACAAAATAAAGGAGTGTCCTCTTGTGGCCCCAAATCAATACAATCAAGTCATTTGTAACCATGATAAAGAGCAAATAAGCAACCAGAAATGTTGCAATTTTTTACAGGACAATCTGAAATATAGAAGTCCCCAATTCGCTGGGTACTCCTGGAGTATTTTTTATCACCATAAAGCTATCTAAGTATGCCATCTGGGACTCAAGCCAGGCTAATAGCATCATATCTTTTTGTGGAAAAGGAATCCAATTTGTTCCTCTTCCTTGATTAGATTCACATTCTAAGGACACATGCGACTAGATTTTGTGAACTTAGGTGCGTATCTTTACTTTTCACAAGATTGTGAAACTGAGTTGTGCATTGCATCAGTGAAATGTATCTCCGATTGATTGGCAGTAAAATTGGAATCTCAATCTCGGGTATAGGGTCTCAAAATGACGAAAAGAAATCAAACAGTTACCAGAAAGCTCTAGGGAATGAAGCTCAATGCTAATGGTACCACTTCCCCTCGTAGGGATTTCGATCAAAACCCCTAAAAACAAAATGAATTCCAGTTCAAAATAAATTAAAATATGTGCAAGTAATTCGAAACGAATAAGCTTATGAGAGAATGACAAACCTAGAGACGCCGACGTTGTCAAATGAAATTCTCAGTGATTTGCAGAGGCACTCCAGACGTCGGTCGTTCTCCCTCACACCGGTAATATCTCCAACGCCGTGTTCTGGAATTTGGAAAGAAAACGAAAGAAAGTGTTTATTGGTGGGAAGGAATAAACGAACCCAAATGGTATAGTTAGGCTTATTGTTTGCCAGGCTTGTTTGCTAAGCTGGTTTGGTTTGTTTATTTATGGCTTATTCACATAAAACATGGTTTAATTGTACAAATGAAAATGATGTGTTGTCTTCATTTAGCCACAAAAATGACATATCTACTCTTTATTTAAAGCATCGTCTCCTTCCCATATGAGACACCACATCTCCGGCTTCTTTATAGTTTTTCGTTTTGATGTTCAAATAATTAATATTGGGGGGTAAATCGGTCATTTATGTTATTCAGACTGTGGGTTCGGATAAAAAAAAATAAACAAGAACATCCATTTTCCAGACAGACAAATTTATCTATACATGACTTAATAGAAAATTTAGTAAACAACCCCAATCTGAAGTAAAATTCAGTATGTAATCGAGTTGTAAAATTTTCAAAAATCGTAGGTATGAAGTTAGAATTAGGTTACGATCATTTGAACTCAATCTGATATTTTTTTTATTTGTTGGATTTAATATGGTTGTTAAATCTTTGTTAACATGTATGTTAGACAATTACGCCACCATGTACCCTCTTCATATACATATATTTTCAATTTTTTCTCCATCACTGTATAACTCTTTCGTGTATATGTTCAATAAATGTGAACATATATATGGAAATTGAGAAACATAGTTTAATGTAATATACTTAAGATCTAAGAAGAAATATGGAAAAGTGGTACCAAATGATTGATGGTGAAAAATGATTTTGAGTAGATAAAACAACATATTTAAAGTTAGAAGAATATTTTGATATATCAAGGCATCAACATGACCAACCTGTACGGTTTGGGTTGGGTTGAATTGCACTTTGGTTTGAATTAGGTTGGGTTTAGATTTTTCAATCTGCAAACATTGGGTTAGGTTATTCAAATATCTTCAACTCAATCAACCTAACCCATGAGCATCCCTATATATAAACATGAACGATCGTGTGAGATCGAGAGTTAAAGTGAGAAGCGTAAGAAATGATCTACTAACTTAATCACTTTTAATCTCAAACTCACACCTGAATAGCTCTTGATACGAGGACTAATCGGGTACATCTCATCCTAATGTGCATCCAAGGGTGAAGATCCCTTCTAATATGTTACTTAAAACTCAAGACTACAAGTAGATTGTGCGTAAATACAACTTATTAAAGCTTCATATATGAATTCGTGTAACTAACT